CTAACTGGAACTGATGCTGAGTCTGACGACAGCGACACAGAAGCTCTGTTTACCTCCAGAGGTCGAAGCTGAGTTGTTCAGAAGTGACACTGAGGATGAAGAATTGAATGGATTTATTGATTTGGAGTGAGATGGAGAGTTTGTTAAACTTGTTCTGTTCTGTTGTTTATGTTATAGTTTATCTGAAGAACTGTTCATATGTGACATTAACAGTCTGTTGTTCTCTCTTCTATTGTTATTACTACAACTTGACTTTCAACAGGAAATGTCTGTTCCTGGTCTCTGATTTTATAAAATTAGATTTTGTCCAAAAAGTGCAACTTATATCCAGTACGACTTACATATAAATATGGTAAAAAAAAAAATGGTATGAGTATTGGCTTCTCCAGGATCTTATTGGGATCTTTGAGATTCGAACCATGACACCACACTTGTAGGCTTGCACAGATTTTGATAAACTGGTTTGAATCAGATTAGTCCAGTTATCCAGTTTTCCTGCCGTGCATGCAGATGTAGTGACTCTGATTATCAGCCTCCTTCAGGGTCAGTTTGTTCAGTGGTGTGAACAGTCCAACCTGAAGCTCCACACATCAAACAACCAAAGACATGGACTTCAGGAGGAACACAGAGGCACCAGAGGCAACATCGTCCTGGGACAGAGTGTGGTGCTGGTGCAAAGCTGTACATACCTGGCCACTGTGATTGACAGCTCTCTCAGCTTTGAAGGAAATTCTGAAGCTGTGTGCAGAAAAGACCACACAACTTTTGTTGTAAGTTTGACTTGAGCGCTGAGAGACAGGAACAAAGTGAGTCACATCATTAAATGATCCTGAGGCCCCATACACCAGACAGGTGCACACCAGACAGGTGCACACCAGACAGGTGCACACCAGACAGGTGCACACCAGACAGGTGCACACCAGACAGGTGCACACCAGACAGGTGCACACCAGACAAGTGCACACCAGACAGGTGCACACCAGAGAGGTAAACCCTGTATACCAGGCAGGTGTAGTCTAGGCCCTGTAGACAGGTGCAGGCAGGTGCAGTGTGTAGCCTCCAATAAAAGTGTCATGTGACAGTGTAGTGAGGTGTTTTGTAGGCTGCCTTAGTTGGTCTTGTCAGACAGGAGGGACAGTAGACTGACACTAGACCTACTGTCTGACAAAGCCGTGCACACAGCCTGTAGACAGGTCAATAAACCATCACAGGCTCTTCTTCAGGAAGATTCCGGAAAGTGGCTGAAACATGTAAAACATGTAAACAAACATTATTTCAAAGCCCAAAAGAGGCTTAGAAAAAAATGCAATGTGTTTATAAGCAATTTTCACAACTCAGAGACTAGTGTGGAGTCAAACATCCATGTGTTTTGCCAACATTGTAATGCTAACAACTAGCATGCTAAATGTACACTTCCTGATTATTTTACTATAAAATAGACTATTCTGTCTACATCTACAAAGTGTTTGCTAAAGTGTGCCAATAGCATGCTAGTGCCATGACATACACATACAGTGTAAGCGGCACTCTGGCCTCTGAAAGTTGTGAAGAGCATTTATTCAACACTTTGGGGTAAATCATTAGGATGCTCCGAATGAAGAACTGAACTACTGCAAACCATTTCAAATGAGTTAGTTATTCACGTTTTGAAGAATCAGGTACAGCTGGACAACAGTGTTTGTCAGGGAGACTGTGCTCTTCAAGAGGCTATCACAGTGTAGTCGGTTGTGTGAGGGTCGGTTGTGTGAGGGTCGGTTGTGTGAGGGTCAGTTGTGAGGGTCGGTTGTGTGAGGGTCGGTTGTGTGAGGGTCAGTTGTGAGGGTCGGTTGTGAGGGTCGGTTGTGTGAGGGGTCGGTTGTGTGAGGGTCGGTTGTGTGAGGGTCGGTTGTGTGAGGTTGGTTGTGTGAGGGTCAGTTGTGAGGGTCAGTTGTGTGAGGGTCGGTTGTAAGGGTCAGTTGTGTGAGGGTCGGTTGTGAGGGTCGGTTGTGTGAGGGTCAGTTGTGTGAGGGTCGGTTGTGAGGGTCGGTTGTGAGGGTCAGTTGTGTGAGAGTCGGTTGTGAGGGTCGGTTGTGTGAGGGTCAGTTGTGAGGGTCAGTTGTGTGAGGGTCGGTTGTGTGAGGGTCGGTTGTGAGGGTCGGTTTGTGAGGGTCAGTTGTGTGAGGGTCGGTTGTGAGGGTCGGTTGTGAGGGTCGGTTGTGTGAGGGTCAGTTGTGTGAGAGTCGGTTGTGAGGTCGTGTGAGGGTCGGTTGTGAGGGTCGGTTGTGTGAGGGTCGGTTGTGAGGGTCGGTTGTGTGAGGGTCGGTTGTGAGGGTCGGTTGTGTGAGGGTCGGTTGTGAGGGTCGGTTGTGAGGGTCGGTTTGTGAGGGTCGGTTGTGAGAGTCGGTGAGGGTCGGTTGTGTGAGGGTCGGTTGTGAGGGTCAGTTGTGTGAGGGTCAGTTGTGTGAGGGTCGGTTGTGAGGGTCAGTTGTGTGAGAGTCGGTTGTGAGGGTCAGTTGTGTGAGGGTCGGTTTGTGTGAGGGTCGGTTGTGTGAGAGTCGGTTGTGAGGGTCGGTTGTGTGAGGGTCAGTTGTGAGGGTCAGTTGTGTGAGGGTCGGTTGTAAGGGTCAGTTGTGTGAGGGTCGGTTGTGAGGGTCGGTTGTGAGGGTCGGTTGTGTGAGGGTCAGTTGTGTGAGGGTCGGTTGTGAGGGTCGGTTGTGAGGGTCGGTTGTGTGAGGGTCAGTTGTGTGAGAGTCGGTTGTGAGGGTCGGTTGTGTGGGGGTCGGTGTGAGGGTCGGTTGTGAGGGTCGGTTGTGAGGGTCGGTTGTGAGGGTCGGTGTGAGGGTGTGTGTGAGGGTCGGTTGTGAGGGTCGGTTGTGAGAGTCGGTTGTGAGGGTCGGTTGTGTGAGGGTCGGTTGTGTGAGGGTCGGTTTGTGAGGGTCGGTTGTGAGGGTCGGTTGTGTGAGGGTCAGTTGTGAGGGTCGGTTGTGTGAGGGTCGGTTGTGAGGGTCGGTTGTGTGAGGGTCGGTTGTGTTTGTGCAGTATAAACACACTGTTTTGGAGCAGGGGCTTTTTCAGTTCTGATAAGACCCTGGTCACAGTGTTTTAATGGTTTGTGTGTGTTAAATATTGTACATGTGTGTGTTAACTGCTGAAGATCAGATGACATCACAACATTCTATAGACCAGTAATATTTAATGGGGGCAGCTAAAATTTCTATTGTTAAATCCAGATTTCTGTTGTAACACAGTGAGTTCTTGGGTTTAGTCACTGTTAGAAATGACAAAGTTCAACATTTGTCAATTTAGCGTTTGGATATTTCACCACTACAATGTGATTGATAGGAAAAACTGGCTCTTGCCCACATTTGGGAATCTGACATCATCACATTCTAGAATCTGAAAACCACAAACTGGAAAATCCTAATCTGCTCTGACTGTCAGTGCACCAGCAGAGAGACAGAAGGCCTCTGTCAATGACACAGTGCATCAGTCATGACTGAGTTTTCAGATCCAGATTTTTATCATTGGTGACAGCAGACACAGTTTGGTCTTGATCAACTTTATTACATGAATAAATACATAAATATGAGACAGCGTGAAGCACTGGTGAGATCAGAACATTGGCACAGATCAGATGAGGTAGATGTTGGACAGCAGTCTCTTTGGTACAGTCAAATACATCCAGTGATATGTCCAAACACAAGAGTCACCGAACAAGGATCCAACTCAGGTCCAAACTCATGAGGTATTGTGTGTTCACTATGTACAAGTCCCACCAGCCAGGAGGTTCTTTGGGCTCCAGCTAAAACAAGAACTACACCAACATTTCAAATGTAATCACAACAGCACAAAACGGTGACCGCATCAGAAGTAAGGCTGCACTCACACACACTCACGCCATTGTCTCCTCTGTTCGCACATATTTAAAACACTCTGTGGAGACAGATGTAGTTTAAATACACCGGGATGGGGCATAGAATGGACACATGTCTCTAATCATTAGTTCTGTTGTCCTTGGGAGAATAGGCCATGCTCAGTGGCGTGTAGGACTGAGTAGTTAGTAGTTTTCTGACTCCATACTACTATTTACCCACTAATCTGTTGTCATTCTTCCCGCTGTAGGTCTACAAGTGACAAAAGTTCATATGCTGATAATATGAAATGATTTGAACATTTGTGTTTCTTGCAGCTCATTCAAATATGATTTATTCATTTTATAGTTTATTTTTAGTTTCACACTTTTAGTTTATTCTTTAAAAATACTTGAAGTATACTCAAGTATTGTTAAAAAATTTAGTAGTTTTTTGGATTGTGACTTTGTACTTTATACATTACACACCGAGTACAGTTTTTGGCCCTGCTTGTTTATTCTAATGTAAAGGAGATTTTTCCAAGGCTCTGGTGTGGGGGTGTGTCTACTGCATGTCAAAAGAAGACCAAATCCAAAATCCTTAAAGGTGCACTATGTATTTTTTCATTGAGGATCCACCACCTGCTTGTCTCCATGGAGATGTTATTGCTTAGCCTGGAATGTTTGGCGTTAAAGGCAGCGCACCTGATTTTTACGATCTCAAAAACAAGGGGGGAAATGCAATGTGTTTATAAGCTCTTTTCACAACTCTTAGAGACTAGTATGGAGTCATAGGTCCATGTGTTTTACCCTCATTGTAATGCTATCAATTAGCATGCTAACCGTGCACTTCCTGACTATATTGGACTATAAAAAGGACTTATTCTGTCTACATCTACAAAGTGTTTTATTCTTTGCTAAAGTGTGCCAATAGCATGCTAGTGCCATGACATACACATAGAGTGTAAGCAGCACTCTGGCCTCTGAAAGTTGTGAAGAGCATTTATTCAACACTTTGGGGTAAATCATTAGGATGCTCCGAATGAAGAACTGAACTACTGCAAACCATTTCAAATGAGCGAGTTATTCACATTTTGAACAATCAGGTACAGCTGGACAACAGTGGAGTCTGGAGATGTTTTTCAGAGATGCTGTGCTTTTCAAGAGGCCATTACACTGCGGGCAGGTTGTGTGAGGGCCAGGTGTGAGGGGGCCGGGTGTATGAGGGCTGGTTGTGTGAGGCCCGGTTGTGTGAGGGCTGGTTGTGAGGGGTCCGGTTGTGTGAGGGCCTGGTGTGTGGGGGCCTGGTGTGTGGGGTCCGGTTGTGTGAGGGCCTGGTGTGTGACGGCCTGGTGTGAGGGGGATGGTTGTGTGAGGGCCTGGTGTGTGAGGGCCTGGTGTGAGGGGGACGGTTGTGTGAGGGCCGGGTGTGACAGCCCGGTTGTGTGAGGGCCTGTTGTGTGAGGCCCGGGTGTGTGAGGGCCGGGTGTGAGGGGTCCGGTGTGTGGAGGCCAGTTGTGTGAGGGCCTGGTGTGAGGGGTCCCGTTGTGTGAGAGCCGGGTGTGAGGAGCCTGGTTGTATGAGGACTGGGTGTGACGGTTGAATGTGTGAGGGCCGGTTGTGTGAGGGCCTGGTGTGAGGGGTCCGGTTGTGTGAGAGCCGGGTGTGAGGGGTCCGGTTGTGTGAGAGCCGGGTGTGAGAGGGCTGGGTGTGATAGGGCCGGGTGTGTGAGGGTCCTAGTTGTGTAAGGGCCTGGTATGAGGGGGCCGGGTGTGAGAGGGCTGGTTGTGTGAGGACTGGTCGTATGAGGGGCCTGGTTGTATGAGGACCGGGTGTGAGGGGGCTCGTTGTGTGAGGACCTGTTGTGTGAGCTGCCCCGTTATGTGAGGACCGGGTGTGAGGGGGCCAGTTTTATGAAGACCAGGTGTGAGGGGGCTCGGTTGTGTGAGGGCCGGTTGTGCTTTTGCAGTACAAACACACGTCCAGATGCTCCTCAAAGTCAAAGTCTTCAGTGGGCCCCGGTGTGACAGGCAGGGGCCCGGGAGGTCTCAGGAGGAGTGGTCTCTGAGGGCGGAGCATCACTGCAAAAGTTTGAGCCAAAAAAAAAAAAAAAAAAGATGGATAATGTTTTGTGCTTTGATGTCCATGTTTGTCAAATGAATGAATTCAGGATGAAATCAGCGTTACAGTTGTGGATTCAAACACTTTGATCAACTCTGATGCTGTAAAGTGCTACAAAAATAACACACGGCTGATTGGTTCATTGTCAGATTCAACAGCACAATGAAGTCGCAGAACAACAGCAACCAAACAAGAGTGACAACTGTGCTTCTGCCACCAAACGGAGGGGCCACCAGGAGGACGGGTCTCAGGGGGAGGGGTCTATGTGGGCGGGTCACCGGGAGGATGGGTCTCGGGGGCAGGGGCCTATGTGGGCGGGTGACCAGGAGGAGTCTCAGGGGGAGGGGCCTCTGTGTCCGTGCAGTGAGGAGGAGGAGGAGGAGGAAGCGGAGGAGGGCGGCTGATGGCTGAAGTGGACAGGCAGGACGGGGCTGCTCTTTCCCTGAGTGTGGGGGCCGCTGTGCTTGGGCCCCTGACGATGGGTCCCTGTGCCCAGAGCAGACTGCCGAGCGAACAAAATGCCTGAGAGAAGAACAAGACATTATTTTAGAGAAACAAGAAACAGTGTCAGACAAAGCAGAACCACAGCCTGTATATTTCAAGGAGAAAATTCAGTTTGTCGACTGGACAGAAGTTAGTTTGGTTGAAGACGTTTCGCAGCTCATCCAAGCTGCTTCTTCAGTTCTGGTCAGACGCTGGTGGACACTTCCTTACATCTGTCTGCAGGAGGAGCTAACTACACTGAAACTACTCTGAAACTGACACACACACTTGTTTACAGTTTCTGTTTTTTAGTTGGGCCTATTGACCTGTACAGGGTGTGGGGTCTAATTAGCAGAACAATTCATGTCCATAATGGAGCTTCCACACCTCTGGACATTTGTCAAGAAAGAAAATCCTTCTCTAAACAGAAATGGAGACTCAGACACCATCTATCTCCTATTTACAACTCCATCCTCAAACCTAATTCAAAACAAACAAGAGAACAACAGGTGTAGTCAGGTCAGGTCCAGAGGTGTGAAAGCTCCATTATGGACATGAATTGTTCTCCTAATTAGACCCCACACCAGGTACAGGTCAATATGCCGAACTAACAAACAGAAACCGTAAACAAGTGTGTGTTAGTTTCAGTGTAGTTAGCTCCTCCCTGCAGACAGTTATAAGGAAGTGTCCACCAGCGTCTGACCAGAACTGAAGAAGCAGCTTGGATGAGCTGCGAAACATCCTCAACCAAACTAACTTTTGTCCAGTTGACAGACTGAATTTTCTCCTTGACATGGATTCTACCTGGACGACTGAGGGATTCCTCACACATCTCCACAGCCTGTATAATATTACTGGACATAGACCCACATAAACCCACACTGCTGCTTGTTTGTGGTTTTAACAAGCAGCTCAAAGCTCACATGCACAGACACACATGCACAGGTCACGTCCGAGATGTGCACTCCCTGGTTTCAAATGTCTAAATGCACTTTAGCTGTAATTCTGAATTCTGGCCTGACCTGGTCATGACTCTACACAAAGATATGAAATGTAACATAAAACTAAACAGGCATAGGCACATCAAGAATCTCAGACTTCCGGTCATTGTGCAATTCATACTGGGAAGGATTTTCCGAAAAAGTGAGCATCAAACCTCCATGTTTGTTTTCCCAGTGGGATGTGTCTATTGTCAAACTCGATCTTTTCAAGTCTTTTGAACCATATCGCTTTTGTTCCTGGTTCTGATATTGTCATATTTTAGTTTTAGGATTTGGACATCGTTAATTGTGTGGTTGTTGGATCTTAACAGCGGAAAACGGCTCGAGAAATTTGTTTGCGAACTCTGTAAGTGCAAAAGGGAATCAGATGTGTGTGACTCAAACCTCTGTTCAGACTGTTTCCCTTCCCAGTGGAATTGAAAAATAGTGAAAGGTGAAGGTGATGGGCAGGATTGATCCATGGAAAGGACGAAAAAGGAACCTTTTGACTCCTTTGACTCCCTAAGAAATCATCCCGAGTTTGCAGCGAACATTTTGTATGTGGAGCCATCAAAGCACAATCACGTTTGTTATTCGAGAGGTGCAGAAGACAAACAGACTGAGCTGCACTTTCTTGTGCTTGTGGTTTTACAGAAACATTAAGTCTTGGTCTCTTTGCAGTGGAAGGTGTTTCTTGGTGAACAGCTGGTGCCTTTCGCTTTGGTGTTGACTTTTAAAATTCGTAACCGAGGTTGAGTGAGGGATCGGGGTTTTGCTTTGATGGCCCCACATACAAAATGTTCTCTGCAAACTCGGGATGATTTAGGCAGTCAAAGGTTTTCTTTTTGGTCCTTCCTGTGGATCAATCCTGCCCATCGCCTTCACCTTTCACTGTTTTTCAATTTCACTCGGAAGGGCAACAGTTTGAATGGAGGTTTGCAGTCACACACATCTGATTCCCTTTTGCACTTACGGAGTTCGCAAACAAATTTCTCGAGCCATTTTCCGCTGTTAGGATCCAACAACCACACAATTAACGATGTCCAAATCCCAAAACTAAAATATGACAATATCAAAACCAGAAACAAAAGTCATATGGTTCAAAAGACTTGAAAAAATCGACTTTGACAATAAACGCATCCCACTGGGAAAACCCTTCGCAGTATGCACTGCACGACGACCGGAAGTCCAAGATTCTTGATGTGTCTATTAGACTTGTTAAAGTTTGCATGTAGCCTGTGTTCTTACTGTTTTACAAAAGGAACTACAATCACAACTGAGCAACATCCAAGTTTGTCTCATTCTCAGTATGTGGAGAGGCCTCATTATTTTGTTTATTTAATGAGACAGGGACAGTGCACAGTCTACATGAACCTTAACAGGACAGATGTTTGGACCAGGTTGTAGCACCAGAGCTCATTTCCACCTGTCGTCCATGGACAGGCTCATTGATTGATTGTATTAACTGACCGTAGCAATCAACTGTTCTACATAGTTTTGGGTTGTGTGAAAGATCAGAACCTCCAGAATTCCCTCCCTGAGCTGCAGAGGCTGCACTAGCACTGACTCATGACTGGGGCAGGAGCTGGGGTTTAGTGACCAGAGAGAGACATTTTAGTTTTAAACCAGCTGGTGTTTAGCATTGGAACTGGCATCACTTGTGCCCAGTATTTTTTTTAATGAAGAATAAATTGTTATTGTTAGTAAAAGTTATATTATGGCAATATGGTTTTCCCACAGTTCGATACGTATCTCAATACACAGGTCACGATATCGTTTTGAAAAAAAAAGCTCATGTCATTTTTCTGCTAAAGAGTATAATATAATAACATGATGTTAAAGAAACAATAAATACATTACATACAATACATTACAACACAACTACTGTCATGTTGTACTTTATATGTGAAGAGTTTTAGTTCATTTGGTTCAGTGAGTCACAGCTCAGAATTTTTATTCAGTGAAAATAAGAACCGAGTTTCTCAGGCTATTTTATATTTTATAATATAACCTACTCTTAATAGAGACTGTGGGGGAGCTACACTATCTTCTTTGATGATGATTTGAGGATTTCTTTTCCTCCTGACTCCTCTCCCTTGGTCCACACGCCCTCATGCCTGTGCCCTCACTGCCCCGCCCCCTCCAGCAGAGACAGTACGTAGCTCCTCCCACACTGCCCCCTACAGTCTGTGACACACTGCGCTCTCCCATCCTCTCTCTGGACACTAAAATTATGTTATATTATAGTCTGGAAAAAGATTGTGTATGTCGGGTTGCGAGTTCGAACACAAGCTCATCTGACTAAAGCCGATGTAAACCCAAAAGCAATTCTAAATCAAGCAATTCTATCAATGTAAAATAAAAAGTGAGTGAAAGATCAAACCCTCCTCTGGTAGAATATTTCAGCTGGAAGTCTCTATGGAGCGGTTTTCTTGTTGCATCTGAGAAGGACGCTGCAATAATTGTTTTCCTTTCAGACCAAACTAAATGACAACACAGCGAGGGACACGTGCAGATCGACACGTGTATCGAATTATGAGACCAGTATCGAACATTTCATATTATCAGTGTTGGGGAGTAACAGATTACATGTAGTGGAGTTACATAATCAGAGTACAAATTATGAGTAACTGTATTCAGTTACAGTTACTGTTTCAGTGAGTGGTAATTGGATTACAATTACTTTGTTGAAATAAATGGATTACACGGCAGTATTTTCCTCTTTTCACATTTTGGGCTAAACCAGGACTAAACCAGGACTAAACCAGGACTAAACCAGGAATAAAACCAGGACTAAACCAGAACTAAACCAGAACTAAAACCAGGACTAAACCAGGACTAAAACCAGGACTAAAACCAGGACTAAAACCAGGACTAAACCAGGACTAAACCAGGACTAAACCAGGTCTAAACCAGGACTAAACCAGGACTAAAACCAGGACTAAAACCAGGACTAAACCAGGACTAAAACCAGGACTAAACCAGGTCTAAACCAGGACTAAACCAGGACTAAAACCAGGACTAAAACCAGGACTAAAACCAGGACTAAACCAGGATTAAACCAGGACTAAAACCAGGACTAAAACCAGGACTAAACCAGGATTAAAACCAGAACTAAAACCAGGACTAAAACCAGGACTAAACCAGGACTAAAACCAGAACTAAAACCAGGACTAAAACCAGGACTAAAACCAGACTAAACCAGGACTAAAACCAGGACTAAACCAGGACTAAAACCAGGACTAAAACCAGGACTAAACCAGGACTAAACCAGGACTAAAACCAGGACTAAAACCAGGACTAAACCAGGACTAAAACCAGGACTAAACCAGGACTAAAACCAGGACTAAACCAGGACTAAACCAGGACTAAACCAGGACTAAAACCAGGACTAAACCAGGACTAAACCAGGATTAAACCAGGACTAAAACCAGGACTAAAACCAGGACTAAACCAGGGCCAATTTGAAGAGAACAAACAAGAATTTTCAGGATGTGGTTGTTACATTCATGTAGTTTTAAAAAACATGACAATATCAAGTAATCCAAAGTATTCAGATTACATTACTCACTTTAAGTAAATTAATGGATTACGTTACAAACTACATTTTGGGGTATGTAATCTGTAATCTGTAGGGGAATACATTTTAAAAGTCACCTTCCCAACACTGCAGATTATATCAAATATTGTTGCATTCCTAATGTGAACATGTGTACCTCATATCTGGGGACAAATATAGGACATGAAGTTAAACCGTTACATACAGTTCTTTAGTATATGTCATAAAGCAGGGTTTCATTAGGTGATTATTCTATAGAAATGAGTTTGATTTTGTTTTCCTCTGTGAATATATGACAAGACCTGACAGCTCTGCCAGCACTCTCTATATCTCCTATCTGCAGCTGATTACCTCCCGTTCTCCGGTCAGTCCCGCTCATCCCGGACCCTTCGCTATATAAGACAATAAGCCCCATCGACCCTCTGCGCTCCCTACCAGCCCATTGGCCCGCCACTTCATTACCATGGATTTTATAGAGAACACATCAAATTGTGTAGAGGACTGAGCACCGCCAGCTGCTATGACTTATCGAGTTTCCTGCGCGCAATTACATCAGCGACCAGGCCCACTATTTACCTGTGTAGACAACTCCATTTATTTCTATTGACATGTTGATGCTGCTAATGCCGTCGGTAGACAGGTTCAATGCGGCCTCTTGTCTATCATCTGTCAAGAGAGGAGCCCAGAATGAGAGGCAGCAAAACTCGATCGGAGCATTTAGAAAAGAGGGAACAGAGGAGGAGGGAGAGTGGGGAGGTATCGGAGATGATCAGCTGAGTGACAGGATAAGGACGCATGGATTAAAGAGCGCGTCTGTCACTGCTCAAACCTGCAGAAAGACAGAGAGAGAAAGAAAGAGGAGAGAGAGAGAGAGAGAGAGAGAGAGGGGGGGGGGGCTGTCAATCAAAAACAAGTAAATCTTTCCCCGTGCACCGATTAGGGCCATTATCACAGAGCAGTGGTCAAGACAGAGTGGACAGAGGTGTGAGTGGACAAAGTATCAATACAGTAATCGAAATGAGTATTCGAGTACTGTATCACTCTTACATCATTTAAAGGTTCTGGACCTGATTTTTTTATATTTGAGGAAAAAAAAAAGTCTTGCCCCAGACCTGATACACTATAGTCCTGCCAGTGAGATGAGATTCTCTCTTGAGAATCCATCTTGCTGAAGTGTTCACTTGTGATAGGACAGAGACTGACCAATCACAGAGCAGCACTGGGGTTTGGGCAGAAGACAGCAGCGAACCAACCAAGCAAACAGACTGACAAATGTACTTTAGCCTGTTTCAGCAGAAATACAATCTGTTTTGTAAATGTAAGAGCATTGTGCATTTGAGAACAAGTAAGATGCAGGTGCTTCTCTCAACTGGATTTAACTAAAACTTGTTTTTTTCGACTTGTTCCACTGTTGTGGCGCTTTGACCAACCAGCATGAAGTTTGAACACTGATCATTTTCAGAGTGGATATGTGTCACGCCTCTGAAGTGAGTTCTACACAGATCAGTCTGGCGAGAGCCAAGTTAGACATACATATTGTATAAGAAGCACTTAAGGTCAAAATAATCAGCAGAACAATCAGTTAGCATGCAATTTATCGTCACTGCAAAACTCTGGTCTCTTAAAATTGTGAAAAGCACTTCTAAACTCATGGCAGTTAGTATTAATGATGATGCTCAGAAATCATGAGGAAAGTGAGAAAGAACATTGCACCAGTGCAAACATTGTCAAAGACCATAAAAAGTAGGTAGAGCACCTTTAACTGAATATAGTCCAGGTGTGTTCTTTGTCAACATGATTACATCTGTTTTTTTAATGAATGAATTATGTATTTATGCAGGTCAGCCTCTTGTCATACTGTTGAGTGTTTTCACATTGTTTTCTTCATTATTTAAAACCTTAAGAAGGAACACACTTATATTCTAGTATTATACACTTATATTCTAGTATTATACACTTATATTCTAGTATTATACACTTATATTCTAGTATTATACACTTATATTCTAGTATTCTAGCCTCAGTGGTGTAGGCCCAGTGTTGTTCTTCCTGGTGTTTTGTGGAGGTTTACAGTAGGCCTCAGATCTAATTGTATCTCTTGGGTTTTGGGCCTGTCTCCTCTTAAAGCTCAGATGGATTAGCACAGTTATAATGGTTATGCTGTATACAGTTTAATAATAGTGATGAGTGTCCCCCACCTCCCCCCTCCTCTCTGATAAGGAGGTGAGGGGGGGTAATGGAGAAGAAGTGATCCACGCCGCACTCTGTCATTTAGTGCTTTGAGACCGATGAGGAGGAGGCATAATAGCTTGAGGAGCCGTCCTGTCCGTAACACACACACACGCACACAGACACAGACACACACATGCACACAGACACACACACGCACACAGACACACAGACACACACACGCACACAGACACACACACGCACACAGACACACGACACACACAGACACACACACACACACGCACACAGACACAGACACACACACACACACAGCACACACAGACACACACACGCACACAGACACACACACGCACACAGACACACACACGCACACACACAGACACACGCACACACACACACACACACACACAGGCATTAGAGGATCAGCTCTGTCATCACCATAACCATCATATTTATAATCATCACTTCAACTCAGTGTGACACGGGGGGGGGTCTATTGGATAAATTAGCTCTGAATTTAGCTGTCAAATGTGAGCACTTTTACACTTTTATACTTAAATGAGCAAAAAGCTCCATGAGAAACAAGTCCACCTGAGAATAAGATTAGAAGCAGAGGAGCAGAGTTTAGAGGAGCAGAGTTTAGAGGAGCAGAGTTTAGAGGAGCAGAGTTTAGAGGAGCAGAGTTTAGAGGAGCAGAGACAGGGACCTGTGAGATGTGCCTCTGTGGTCTGCAGACACACCAGAGGTGGAATAAAATAAAGTTACTTTAAAATCTAGTGATCGAAATAATGACTCTGATAAGAGTAAAGTATTTAAAGTCCTTGAGTACAGAGTCACAGTTTGGAAATGAATGTATCAATGTAAGATTTTGTTTAATCGTCAGTGAACAACTTACACAAACTGGGAAGTGTTTGTGTGACAAATATCTGCCCACACACAGGGTGTACTTCTGTCTGTAGTTACACATACATACAGTACATACACAACAAACCTCTGTTGTACCTGTGGAGTTTGCACACACACACACACACACACACACACACACACACACACTTACACACACACACACACTCAGAGTGTACCTCTGTTGCTGAGCGAGATGCTGAGGGGCAGTTGCGTTGCCATGGCCAGCAGGTTGCGCTGTAGCGCCTGCTGCATCAGTCGCTGCTCCTCCATCATCATCTTCTTCTCTGGAGGCTCTGTGCGCTCCAGCTTTTCTCTGAGTGTCTCCAATGCGGCAGCCTGTACTGCCCCCATGTGGTGTGAGTGGGCCCCAGGGCCTGGCAGGCAGCCCGTCAGGAGCGGCTCCTCTGTTCACACGTACATGTACACACTCTCATTTATGTCTACACTTTGATAAATGCTCATGCACGCGCTGTGTCTCACCCTTTTTAATGCTGGCCAGCTGGCTGAGGTGTCCGCTGGGGTGCGTGCCCAGAGGCAGGTGCGGCAGGTGCACTTTGGGCGGGGGCAGGAGCGTGGGCGTGCCCACAGGGGAGTAGTTAAAGAGCTGGGCACCATAACTCTGGCGTCGGCCTTCGCGGCGGTTACTGTCGATGGCGGCCTGCAGCTCCGAGGGTGAGCTCAGAGCACGCTTCTCACACTCGTACGGGTACAAGTACTTCATGTACCTGAGCAGCAGGGGGCAGCAGCACAACCAGCGTTAAGGTCCAAGTCTACAAAGGCATGTGACTGATCTTACACAGATCTTACTCCTTCCTCTGTTCACATCTGAGCCTGGAGCATTTAGGAACCTGAGATTTACCTGAGCATTTCACTTCCCCTGTGCACCTGTAGGTTTACATTTCATGGAAGAACAAGGCCCCAAAGACAAAGGGACGTTCAGCTCAGCCAGGTTTTAAGTAACTGTACATTCTATCTCTAGTGATGTGGCACCTGGCAGGATGTGTGGCACCCGACGTGGCACAGATATTTTGTTATTTAACTACTACTAACCTAGGCCTCCTTTTGTGCTTCTAGCTGCCATTAGGTACAGTACAAAATGCCGAAATATTTGGCAGGTGCCATGCCAGAAAAGGTTCTGTCCCTTTCTGGGGTTTTCACATTTCACATGGGTTCAGTTGTGATGACCATAGTTCCTAAAGTACAGAAGTATACACAGATTATAAAGTGTGTAAAGTGTGTGTGGGGACTCACTGTGTGCGCAGCGTGAAGGCGGCGCTGGTGATGGACGTGGGCAGGTTTAACCCTTTGGTGATCTCTCTCCAGATCTTCTTATTGATGACTTCCACTAATCCGCCTTTCTCTGTCACTAGCTTGTAGAGCATGTAGAGGTCCAGCACCTGCTTGGCCATGATGGGAATCCGATTCACGGGGGTCCCTGCACATACACACACGCACACACATACACACACACACACGCATGCACCTCAGATCAATGTTATTAACAGGCCCCGGCCGGGTCAATGCAGCAGCGCGATGCTCATTTATCTGAGCAGCGGCTGACAGCTCTCTAACAACTCAACTGGACTTTTCCTGTGGCGAGTGTGAGGGGGATTATACAGAGGCTTCATGAGTATCGAGCTCATGTCAAATCACAGAGCCACAGTGGTCAGTGTGTGAGAGAGGGGGGTCAGAGGTCAGGGGAGTGGTCAGAACAGTGGGGTCAGAAGAAGACAGGAGTCAGAGGAGAGAGGGGTCAGAGGAAGGGTCATACGGCTGGGCTCAGAGGGCTTGGCTCAGAGGACTAGGGTCAAACGTCTGAGAAGGGGTCAGAGGACTGAGGTTACATATTGCTTTTTTCCAACAGGGCACCACCTGTTGATGTCCATGGAGATGTTACTGCTTTGCACTGAATGTTCCACAGTGTGACAAATGCATCTGTCTCCATTACTGCTGCATTTATTATATTACAGGTGTGATACTCACTTACTTAGCAGTGTTGTAGAAAATTCCTAGGATTGTTACATCAGAGGCAGAGACACTGTACAGTTTTTACAGTGTACAAGTCATAGTCAGAGTTTGGTTTCTGCTGCCAGTGTCAGACATGTTTGTTATTAGCTGACATAGTTTTTTCTCCCCATGGTAATTCCCTCTGTTGTCAGTAGATGGAGCCCTACATCTTTGAGATTTGAGTAAGGGGAGAGCGCAGGCTGAAAAGTAATGTTTTGTTTTCATCAAAGCCATTATTTTCACTTCTAAAACATGAGATGTCATAGGTACTTAAGAGCTTGTACGTCTTCTTTAAAGAGGAGGTATATGCTAAATCAACTTTTTAGAATTATATTGTACCGTGTTATAATGTTGCTTCTGTCCACAGATCAGCCCACAGGCCTACATCACCCACGCTCTCACATGACAAGTCTCCATAAAAAGCACAATATAAAAATGTGCACTCCAACGTCACAACTCTGTTACGATGTGCAGGAGTTTCATTAGCAGGATGCATGCTGACTGTGTTGTGATAGTGCTCTGAACGGGGAGTGACTTAACACAGGGGGTAAGGGGACAGAAGTTTAAGAGCACCAAAAACGAAACTGAAATTAATTACACATGTGAATATGTTGTTTTGGGCAAATATACCATAGAATGTACAGAGAAGTGGACTAAACCTTTGGCTCCACAAACAAAGCTTGTGATGTTAGTAGTTATTAACCTGACTCACACCAGATTGTACGTGTATCACTCTGAATCGAGTTCTACACATTCTCCATTTGGAATGGCTCTCACTGAAAAAGGAGGAACATGCAGCAGAAGTGCACCTGATTGAGTGAACCACCCCAAAGTGACCTCCTGGTAGTTTCTTTTTACCCAATCACGGCAAACCTGTAAAAATGACGTATGATGCATGCTGGAGTGGGACTGATTATGTGTTATGTTATAAGCCACCATCACCATCAGTGGGGCTGTCATCATGTTGCCTGAAACCCCTCCCCCTGCCATAGAAGCCCTGTGATTGGACCAACCACTGCAGGGGCTACATTTAAAGCGTAGAGCTGGAGCACCTCAAGATGGATTCTCGTGAGTTTGTGAACACACAAATATTGTGAGAATCCACCAAATAATGAAAGAAAAACATCAGGATCATGTAGAGTGGGTTAATAATATCATTTTCAGACCAAAATGATGAGGCTAACTGATGCAGTTACAGAGAGAGGGGAAACAATATTCCATTGTAAGTCAATGGGAGGGTCAGAAGGAGCCAGAAGTGCCCACATGCAAACTTCCTGTGTGGGATGTGGCAGCTAATGCTTTGTCCATGTATATATATACAGTCTATGGTTACAATTAATACCCCACTGAAGTGTAATGCCTCCTCTTTAATACAACAAAACCAAATTTAGCTGTTTTATTTAATACAAAAACATCTATAATTTATAATTATGTCTAAAAGCTCCAAAAAGTGAAGTTGATGAGTTGTTCCTCTCACAGTGTGCCGGGCAGCTCAGGCCCACAGTGTTTTATGTTCTGATTAGAGAAATAAAGGCGTGCTTTGTACAGAGAGCGTAATGAGCGGCCGTAAAGCAGCAGCTCCGATGACTATCTCCTGACCTGAGATCATTAACCCCCGTTTTGCTGAGAGACTTCCATTGTGCCCATTGGATTTGCCATAAGAGCGATCGAAGCGCGCAGAAATATAGTGCAAACAAGCGCACAGGGCCACTGGGGGGGGGCAATTACACGTAGTAATTATAGAGCCCCCCCCACCACACACACACACGTATACACTCAAACACACACACACATGCACGCAGACGCGCACACACACACACACACACACACACACATGCACACACATATACAGGGAAAGGGAGATGCTCTAAAACAATGGCTGTCTCATTGTTTAACCAAAAGTACTCGGAGAGGGAGTTACTGAAAAACTTTGACAACTTCAGTGTTATTGACTGAACACAAATCTGCAGTGGTCAAACAAATGTGTGAGTGGAGAGCAGGAGCTATTTTACACCACTGGACTTATGGACACTTCTCTGTACTACTACTGTACAGTCAGGAAGTGCATCTGACTGCTCATTTCACTAAAATATAGTTAACAACAGTAATCATTTGACTGGTACAAAAAATGAAGGTTTACACTGTCAGATATACTGTATGTGCCGTGCCGTGCATGTACATTGCCCTTATACTTTGGATGGAACTTCCAGTGTTGATGGCAGCGTTGATAAATAGACCAAACTAAGTCATAGTTAAAACATCCCCAAAACCTGACGTACGCACTGGTCTTTACATGAACGATTTTACGTGAGCGACTTTACATAAGTGACTTTACATAAGTGACTTTACATGAGTGGCTTTATGTGAGTGACTTTATGTTAGTGACTTCACGTGAGTGACTTCATGAATAATTTAACGTGAGTGACTTTTCGTAAGTGATTTTCATGTGTGACTTTACGTGTCTGACTTTACGCGAGTGACTTTACATGAGTGACTTTACGTGTGTGACTTTACGTGTGTGACTTTACATGAGTGACTTTACATGCGTGACTTTATGCGAGTGACTTTACGCCAGTGACTTTACGCAAGTGACTTTACCCGAGCGACTTTACGTGAGTGACTTTACGCGTGTGACTTAACTTTACATGTGTGACTTTACACCAGTGACTTTACGCGAGTGACTACATGAATGACTTTACATGTGAACTTTACGTCACTGACTTCACTTGAGTGATATTACATGAATGACTTTATGCGAGTGACTTTACGTGAGTGACTTTACATTTGAAAGAATTTCACTGCTGTTTAGTGTCACTAATCATGAAGAATCATTACATTCAATTCAAACCACAATGGAAATGATGATAAATTATATCAGGTTAAAATCATGATTAATATTTAGTGTAGGGGTCTTCAATGTTTTTCAGGCTAGGAACCCCCAAACTGATGGACTTTTTTTAACGATTTGACTAAATGAGAGAGGAACCACAGCCCACACGGACAAGAGTTTGATATGGGCCATAGAACATTTCTGGTCATTCTGAACTGGGGAGTAAGAAAAAAGACACGACTCCCCCCTCCTTCCCTGTTCACTCACTCTTCTCTCCCGGTCACTCTGCGGGGAGAGAGGGGCCGGCTGCGTAGTGCGGCACCTGGTTAATGTGGCCCAGGGAATGAAGTCGCCTCACCCCTTTCCTGATTAGCGGTAGTACATGTGGTGCTTAAGTTCTGCTGCGCCTAAACGTGAAATCATAATGGAACTCTTCACATGTGGCCTATAAGAAACGATCAAATCCAGGCCAGCAGTTTGACAGGGAACGAGAGACGAGGGAATGAAGAGAGAGACACAGACGTCATCCCCATCCTTTAAAAATGAAGATATATTTTAAAAAAAAGGTCTAATCAACCAAAGATTTTGCGACCCCCCCTGTTGAAAACCTCTGATTTAGTCACTGGCCCAGCCCTATAGTGACAACAGCACTAAAGCCCACATAGCACTAACAATACCAGTGCTTATTCATGTCAGTCATCGCTCTTAAAATCCTTTACCCCCTGTGTGCAGTTAATACAGGTCAATATGATGGTGGTGGGGAAGGGAAGGGGCGTGCTTGTGTGTTATTGTCTCAAAGTGTGGACCTCAGCACTGCACTGTACCTCATTATGATGAACAGCCTAACGAGCCCCCACTGACAAAAGCACCTTGCTCCGTATCTCTTTGAGGGAATCGCACCGGCGCATAGATCAGGCTGCGCGTCGAAGGCCCATAAATCTCCCTGAAGAGGCCTGTCGCACGCTCAAAATGGCTGCCACGAGCGCTCCCTTATTTATGGCGAGCTGAGGGCGGGTGGGCCATTGTGTCCGAGACTGAGTGATAGTTTTATAGATGAGTGCGAACTGGTCTATCATCTCATCATCACAGCCAATCACAACACCACACACACTGGGCGCAAGTCTACTCTTAAAGTGTACAATAAAGAAGTACAAAAAGAGCGCTCTTAATTATACTGCGCCTGACCATGGACATTGTCAACGGTTTTGCTAAAGGAAATGAAAATAGGAAGGACAAAAATGGAGATGGGAATGATAACCAAACCCACTCATGTTTTTGTCAGATAATCAAACTGCTAACACATAACATTTATATTACCGTGTTACCTTCTGTTATCGTGAACATGCTATATCCACCACATATTAACATGTTTTACAAGTTTCATTTTCATTTTTGACACTCCTCTATTTGCTCCCTGCACTAAGTCACTCCGCCTTCAGAGCACTGATCAGGTGTGTCAAGTTGTGGTGTACAGTTTTGTATCACATTTTTGTATATTTATACAGTATGAATTGTGTGGAAGCATGGGTGATGCAGGCTTGTGGGTGGAGCTTTGTACAGAATCTTACAGCTAACCATAAGGAGGGTTTAAATAGGGCCCAGGAGTGATCACAAAATTACTCATACTTGCATGGATGACATGTCAGGCATGTTCATGAGGGAACACTGTTATAACAAGGTCGAAAGCTCCAAGTCAGTTTTGCATAATACCCAGCCTTTAATATGAGTTCTCTAATTTCAGCAAATTTGAGACTATTACTGCCAGAAAATGGGCATTAAAAAAAAAAAAGTATTTTTTTAGTTATAGCTGAGATATAACTATTCATTTACAATGGAAGTTGATGGGAGAAATCAGCATGGCCAAAACATTTTTGTTCAAACTGACAGTAAAACAAACAAAAATTGCAGCAAACTCAGTCTTCCCATGGATTGTTCATATGGACGAGCCAGTCACAAGGATATCAGGAATTTACATTTCAATGTTATGAAGCTACAGTATGTCCCAGTATATGTCAATACAGCAATAACAGTGATATAGATTTAAAGGCTCATGGAAAATGTTAGTGAAAAAAGAAAACAAACAAATACGTACATTTTACATAATTGTGTGTAGGTTTGAAAAGGAAAACATAAAATAAAAGACAAAATGGGCATTTTTTACTGGGAGTCTATGAAGTGCAACACAACAAACGGTCTTCATTAAGTCAATCTTCCCACTAATTATCCACACTGATAGTCACACTGGTCATAGTCAGAGGGGAAAAAAATGGCTATAATAGAATATATATATATATATATATATATATATATATATATATATACTGCAGCTGTATTTCTTCTAATCTCTTGTCCAGTACTTAAAAACAATTACTGTACTGCCTTACCATCACAGTAAACTCTGCTCTGGCCTCTGTGAAAAGTGCTCCTAAACTCATGCTCTGAATGCATCATGTGAGCGAAGAAGAACTTCAGACCAGTGCAAACTTTCCAATGAACCTGTTCTGTTTTTCAAGAAATAATAATGACACAACTTGACAACCTTTTTATCACACCATGAAACACTCATACACACAATACACACACACACACACGCACACACACAGAGAGAGAGAGAGAGAGAGATCACACATCACACTATACACACACAGTACACACTATGCACACACACACCTATGCACACACACACATCACACACACACACACACACACACACACACACACACACACACACACACACACACACACACACAGCACACACACACTGAATACCATCCATTGCCTGGAGACTGATCCTAACTTAAACCACATTCACTAGTTCTCTAACCTTAACCTAAAGCCTTTTGTCAGTTATGTAAGAGGGGAGGCATTTGTACGTTAACGTCAGAAATGATTTAGTTAGTTTTTAGTTTTTCTGGTTTTTCTTTTGAAAAATACCAGATTCTGTGCATTATTTAATGTTATGATTCCAATTTTATTTTTATTTTATATCTGTTTTTTGATACTTTTACCAACCATAGAAAAGCAGCCAACCATCTTGCCACACATAACTATTGCACTACATTTCCCAAAAAACCTTCTACAATCACAACTGAACCTGGGTCACCAGTGCCTTAACCTGCAGGTAGAGGAGGGGCAAGCACTTAGAAGTTTGAACATGAATGATTCTTACACCCCAAGATACCAGATTTTGTGCATCATTTAATGTTTTCATTCCAATTTTATTAACTTCAAATGATAAATCAGGTGCTATGTCCCAGCACTAGCTCTTAAAATGACTTGAGCTCTTTGGACAAGCACTGTTTTACTTTACTGTTTACTTTTATTTGTTTTACTTGAGTATTCTATTCATATCAAGTGTATTTAGTACTATGTTACATTCTTAAATGTCATCTGACCATCTGTGTGTGTGTGTGTGTGTGTGTGTGTGTGTGTGTGTGTGTGTGTGCTTATCCAGGTGATAGCATCAGCAGCATAGAGAGAGTGCGTCTGTCAGAGCTCCTCACATCTGACCAGGTCTGTGTATGCTAAGCCCCAAAATCAATCTTCATCGAGCAGACGCTACGCTGTCCATACACCCCACACAACACACACACACAAGCATGCACACACAAACACACACACACACACACACACATTCAAACACAATTATCTAAGATGGAAAGCATTTTATCTTTAAATTGTAATAAAATGGTTTAATGAGACGCAAGTGCTCCAGGTCAGACATAGGGCCCAGTATGTGTGGAAGTAGTTCTCAGTATTCACTTAATCGATTATCAGGTTCATTTAGGTCACAATATAGTCATAAGAGTGCAAAAATTATATTTGTGACAATTTAGAAGCAAAATGAAGTCACATATTGTGCTTGTGTGTGCTCTATAGTTATAGTTATCTGTGGATCATTATGTTATCATCTGGACATTTTTGTATTTTGTAGTATGGTGCCCAGTGGAAGCTGACGAAGCTGTAAACGTCTTCACAACAAAGTGCCGAATGCCGTGGGCCCCTTTTTTTTTTTTTTTTTTACATTTATGCTGCTGAATCCTACATGTGTCACTGATGAAGACAATCAAACTGGAGAAGGAAGTGTGTATGTCACAGTGAAGTACCGGTGGAGCTGAAAATAGAGGCTGATCGGCCAAATGGCTTCTTGAAAATAAGTGATTAAACATTACTTAAAAAAGCATGAATCACTCCAAATACACCTTCAGAGGGTCAGTGAGAAGGAAACAGCTATAATATGGTTAAAAGCTCTGATAAGTTCATTTTGCAGAATAGGTCTGCTTCAATTAAATCTAAACTTGAAAAAGTTTAATAGAATGTGCTTTTTTCTGGCTATTCGCATGAACTTATAGAAACAGTAATATATTAGGTGACGTGAATTGACGGCTCCATCCATTCTGGCTTCACAGATTTCTTCTGTGACAGTTCCCAAACAGGACAGGCTGGTTTACCTTGAAGCTCCTTATATTGATTCTTTGAGCTATTCTCAAAATCTGCTGAAAACATGTAGTGTCAGGAGAGCACCTGCTTCTGAGGAGGTCCTCTAACTTCAAACTAACTTCATAGCCTCATATGTGTAGACTGTGACAGGTGTGTGAGGAGGGCTACATCCATGTGTTTGTGCTGATCTCAGCCTGTTGTCCACCAACTGTAAAGGCAAAACATCTCATGTGGTCAGTGCAAAGTCCAGGCCCTCAGGAGAGCTGTTTAAAGATGAGTTGGATCTGTGATACTGTGATGACATGTGGTAATACAGGAAGTGCTCCATTGTGTTTTAAACTCCATACACCTTCAATAGAATCATTTGGAGGATTTCAGCCCTGGAATTGTCAATCTCTGTTGAACTAAAGGTAAAAAGTAGCTGTTAACATGAAAACTATTGCTTCATGACATCACAAGGTGGACTAGAGCATTCTGAGCTATGGAGGTGTATACAGACCAAATCTAGGTATGTTTTTGAGTAGGGGTGTACAAAAATATTGAAATATCGATACATCATTTCTTTTAATGTGATGAAACAGTATCGATATCATGAGCTGCTGTATCGATATATCGTCAAGAGTGTTTTTTTGGTGCATTTTACTTAATTATTCTGTTACAGTGCTACAGTTTTGTTAGTTGTTTAGAGGAAGGAAACTCATTTATGCGACAAATTTGACATTTTCATTGTTTTTATGAGTAAACTGTTTATGTTTCATATGAACTTTGCAGACTTTTAGACTCTTAGTGACTTAAGATTTTAGACTTTTAGTATCACAGCCATGATTTAGAGATTATTTTGCTGAACTGTATCAAATCAATTTAAAATCTATAATATTGAATTGTATTGAATTGAAAGTGCACTGTATCGAGATATGTATCGTATCATGGCCTATGTATTGAGATATGTATCGTATTGGCAACTTCTTAATGATACCCAACCCTGTTTTTGAGGAGGTTAATCAGACTGGTGTACTAGTGCAGTATCACCACTAGATGGAGATACACTGCACTCTCTATGATCGGAGTGCTGTAGAGCAGTCTAAAGAGGAGCCACTGTGCCACACCAGCACACACAGCCCGAGTGCCCTCTGCTGACATGCCCCCTACCACCGAGAGAGAGGGAGAGTGCGTGTGTGTGTGTGTGTGTGTGCGTGCGTGTGTGTGTGTGTACCTCTCTTCTGCATGAATCCAAACAGGTCGTCCAGAAACTCTTTGCGCTTCTCATCATTGTCCAACTCATACAACTGTGGACAGAGACAGAGACAGGTCAGAGACAGGGACACGAGCAGGGACAAATCAGAAAGAAAAACAAAAAGTAAGTGCAGATAAAAGAGCTCAGCATGAATTGACCTACGTGAAAGTATTGAAGTATCTGTTTACTTTAATAATAATAATAATAATAATAATAATAATAATAATAATAATAATAATAATAATAATAATAAAAAACAACAATATCACATTTGAAAATAAAACTATCATGAAATTTAGTTTCATGGTAAAATGTGATAAGAGATGATCATGATCAGACAGAGGCTGTAAACTGAGGCTGGCATGAGTTTTCCTGCCATTAGCAGTAGTAGTAGTAGTAGTAGTAGTAGTAGTAGTAGTAGTAGTAGTAGGTAATATAGTGATAGTAGTGGTATTAGTGGTAATAGTAGTAGTAGTGGTGGTAGTAGTAGTTTTAGAAGTGGTAACAGTAGTAGTAGTAGTAATAGTGACTTGTCGTGGTAATAGTATTAGTAGTTGTGGTAGCAGTAGTAGTAGAAGTAGTAATAGTAGAGGTAATAGTAGTAGTAGTAGTAGTAGTAGTAGTAGTAGTAGTAGTAGTAGTAGTAGTAGTAGTAGAGGTAGTAGTAATAGTTGTAGTAGTGGTGGTAGTAGAGGTATTAGTAGTAGTAGTAGTAATAGTAGTAGTAGTAGTAGTAGTAGTAGTAGTAGTAGTAGTAGTAGTAGTAGTAGTAGTAGAGGTAGTAGTAATAGTTGTAGTAGTGGTGGTAGTAGAGGTAATAGTAGTACTAGTAGTAATAGTAGAGGTAATAGTAGTAGTCCTGCACAGGGCTGTGGGAGACAGAGGACTGGAGTGAGGTACAGTACTAACCCAGAGGAAGTGATTAAACTCATTATAACAGCACATAGTTCAAGGACACATATTCCATTTCTTTCTGTTCTAACATTGTTTCCTCATCACAAACAGAACTGGACTTGTGTTTTGTTTCATTCACATGTTTAACAAACAGACCCTGCACATTTAGACTGAGTTCTGCTCTTAAACCGAAAACACTGTTCCACATTGTGATGTCATCTGGTTATACAGGAAGTGCTCCATGGAAATTGCCCATCTCTACTGAACTAAAAGGTAAAAGTACCACTTCATGACATCACAAGATGGAACAGAGCATTTTGAGCGTTGAAGATGTAGACAGACCCTAAGACCCTGATCAGATCTCAGAAGCTCAGCAGGGCCGGGCCTGGTTAGTACTTGAGATGGGAGACCACTGGGAAAATCAGGTGCCATGGGGGGGCGTTGTGTCCTTAGGCAAGGCACTTGACATGCATGGTGTATGAAAGTGGTGTGTGTGTGAGGAATGGTGGTTAGGATGGTCGGAGGGGTTGATGGCGCAGATGGGCAGCCTCGCTTCTGGAAGAACAGTGACTCACTTGGACAGGACACGGGCACATGGCTGCCCCCTGGACTTCAGCCATTAGCCGTGTGACCAGGGCTAAATATGACAAAACTACAACAGTTTTTCCTGAGATACAGATGACACAGAGCCACAGACCTGAGCCACAGACCTGAACACTGAGCCACAGACCTGAGCCACAGACCAGAACACTGAGCCACACACCTGAGCCACAGACCTGAACACTGAGCCACACACCTGAGCCACAGACCTGAACACTGAGCCACACACCTGAGCCACAGACCAGAACACTGAGCCACAGACCTGAGCCACAGACCTGACCACTGAGCCACAGACCTGAGCCACAGACCAGAACCCTGAGCCACACACCTGAGCCACAGACCAGAACACTGAGCCACAGACCTGAGCCACAGACCTGAACACTGAGCCACAGCCACAGACCTGAGCCACAGACCTGAACACTGAGCCCACACACCTGAGCCACAGACCTGAACACTGAGCCACACACCTGAGCCACAGACCAGAACACTGAGCCACACACCTGAGCCACAGACCAGAACACTGAGCCACAGACCTGAGCCACAGACCAGAACACTGAGCCACAGACCTGAGCCACAGACCAGAACCCTGAGCCACACACCTGAGCCACAGACCAGAACACTGAGCCACAGACCTGAGCCACAGACCAGAACCCTGAGCCACACACCTGAGCCACAGACCAGAACACTGAGCCACAGACCTGAGCCACAGACCTGAGCCACAGACCAGAACCCTGAGCCACAGACCTGAGCCACAGACCAGAACCCTGAGCCACACACCTGAGCCACAGACCAGAACACTGAGCCACAGACCTGAGCCACAGACCTGAACACTGAGCCACAGACCTGAGCCACAGACCTGAACACTGAGCCACACACCTGAGCCACAGACCTGAACACTGAGCCACACACCTGAGCCACAGACCAGAACACTGAGCCACACACCTGAGCCACAGACCAGAACACTGAGCCACAGACCTGAGCCACAGACCAGAACACTGAGCCACAGACCTGAGCCACAGACCTGAACACTGAGCCACAGACCTGAGCCACAGACCAGAACACTGAGCCACACACCTGAGCCACAGACCAGAACCCTGAGCCACACACCTGAGCCACAGACCTGAACACTGAGCCACAGACCTGAGCCACAGACCAGAACACTGAGCCACACACCTAAGCCACAGACCAGAACCCTGAGCCACACACCTGAGCCACAGACCAGAACACTGAGCCACACACCTGAGCCACAGACCAGAACACTGAGCCACACACCTGAGCCACAGACCAGAACACTGAGCCACACACCTGAGCCACAGACCAGAACCCTGAGCCACACACCTGAGCCACAGACCTGAACACTGAGCCACACACCTGAGCCACAGACCAGAACACTGAGCCACACACCTGAGCCACAGACCAGAACACTGAGCCACACACCTGAGCCACAGACCAGAACACTGAGCCACACACCTGAGCCACAGACCAGAACCTTGAGCCATAGACCTGAACATTAAGTCACAGACCTGAACACTGAGCCACAGACCTGAGCCACAGACCTGAACTCTGAGCCACAGACCTGAGCCACAGTTCTGATCAACAGACCTGAACACTGAGCCACAGACCTGAGCCACAGACCAGAACCTTGAGCCACAGACCTGAACACTAAGCCACAGACCTGAGCCACAGACCAGAACACTGAGCCACAGACCAGAACCCTGAGCCACAGACCTGAGCCACATTTTTGATCAACAGACTTGAACCCTGAGCCACAGACCTTAACACCCTGAACCTTAACCATAATACCTACAACCCGACAAACTTGGGAACACAGAGCTGATCCCCAAATATGAGATTTTAAATCTTATGATCCCCAGAGCGCAAAGACTCCAGCAGAGACCGCACACCCCAAAGAGACCGCACACCCCAAAGAGACCGACACCCCGACACCGACCCAAAGAGACCGCACACCCCAAAGAGACCGAACACCCCAAAGAGACCGCACACCCCAAAGAGACCGAACACCCCAAAGAGACCGAACACCCCAGAGAGACCGCACACCCCAAGAGAGACCGAACACCCCAGAGAGACCGAACACCCCAAAGAGACCGAACACCCCAAAGAGACCGAACACCCCAAAGAGACCGAACACCCCAAAGAGACCGAACACCCCAAAGAGACCGCACACCACAAGCTGAAAGTGGTGAGCTAGTAAAACCATAGTGAACCTTGCCTGAGCTGTTTCCTGTCTGCAGTAAAACAACTCTTTTTGAGACTCTGAAGTGTTCCAAAGACCAGAGCATCTGTCACTCATGATATGTCCTGATATAAGAGAGCAGCTCAGATTTGCACCACACACACGAGGAGAGCAGCGGATTCAAAATCACATACGAAGACCCAAATTTAGGTCACACCTCCCCGAAGTCTCAGAGAAGCAAACTGTGTCCTAAATTGGGCAAATGATTGTGTAGTGTCGGCATTTAAGTGACGTACAGACATCTAAACATTCAACTTAAATACAGCACTTTTACTTTTGTACTTTGTTACATTCCACCAATGCTGAGGAGACAAAGACCAGTGTGTCCCTGGCCTGGTGGAGATGCGTCAGATGCCCTGTCAGCTGAACACATCAAACCCACTTTTATGTTGTTCCTAAGAGCCGCAGTAAAACCATGATTCATGCAAATCAATAGCACGCCTGTCAGCTCTTTAAATATTCATCTTTCAGACTAAAGAGCACACAGCACAGGTCTGCAGACTGTCCCAGGACCAGACTGGACCAGGACCAGTCCAGGATGAGTCCAGAGTGGACCAAACTGAACCAGACCAGACTGGACTCGTTAACCTGTCCACATGCAAACATGCTGGGTGTCCATGCTCTTTGGGGATATTAAACTGTTACATTCATGTACATTGTTACACTGCCAAATATATCACATATTATGTCAAACCATTTTTATGAGCTTTTAACACCTCGCTCAGAGTGCACCTAGTCCAGCTTTGGCTCCAGGCTGGGAGATGTTTAGTTGTGGTGTGACCCTCACACACAGAGTGGAACTCTCAGAATTGTACTTTACCACATGTTCACACCAAAACTATTCATGGATTAAAGGAAGAGCCTCCCAACCGAACTCATCTGCAGACTGTGTGTGTGCTCTGAGCTCCTCACTGTTTTGAATCATACAGAAAACTCAGGACCACTGAACCAGAGCTGCCCCCTGAGCAGAGCTGCACCGTGAAGAGTGTGAGTGACGGGTAACAGTGAGCGAGTAACTGTTTCCTCATCAACTTAATCTGAGGTGTATTTTTGATTCATGCATGTTGTTTTTTGAGTAATCCTGTACTGTCCTGCACTTGAGGCTTAATTGTTCAGAAAAGTCCTGTTTTCACCTTCCCCCCATCTCTGTCCACTTCTCTACTAAGGTTAAAAGGTTCCGACTGTGTCACACATGTACTTCTGTAGTCATTTTTCAACAGTGAAAGCACCAAAAATCTGTTGCTCACTTTACTGAAATGTCTCTGTGAAGAGGTGGGGCTTATCTGGTTTGGACAGGAAGTCAC